ACCAGCATATTCTGAGTATATTTTATAACTTCTTTGAAAAATATTGGAATTTAAATTGCCTTGGCATGAGCTGGGAAGGTGGCTCAGTGGTAGAGCGCTTGCCTTGTATGCCTGAGGCCCTGGATTCGATTCCTCAGCACCACATAAGCAAAAAGAGAAAAGCCAGAAGTGGCGCTGTTGTTCAAGTGGTAGAGCGCTATCCTTGAGCTGAAGAGCTGAGGGACAGCGCCCAGGCCCAGAGTTCAGGCCCCATGACCGGACCCCCCCAAAAATTTTTTCCTTGGCATTAATTTTGGCTTATAATATTTAAATAATAAATTATGCAGGAGTAAATAAATTCCAAGTCGCATCTTGGTTGTTAATAGCAATATTTTTTTTCAGGCTGGGATTGTGGCTTAGTGGTGGAGTGCTTGCCTAGCATGCATGAAGCCCTGAGTCTGATTCCTCAGTACCACATAAACAAAAAATGCCAGAATTGGTACTGTGGCTCAAGGTAGAATGCTAACCTTAAGCAAAAAAAAGCTCAGGGATAGTGCCCAGGCCCAGAGCTCAAGCCCCAGAACTGGCAAAACAATTCAGGTTAATAAACTATTCTAAACACTATTTTCCTGTGACTTAAATAGAAAAAAGATTCATGTGTTAAAAACAGTATGTCATCTGTCTAAAAGTGTTAGCATTTTAAGTGATGTATAAATATAATCTAAATGCTCAAGGCTGTTTCAGAGATGTAGTGAAAGAAAGAAAGAAAGAAAGAAAGAAAGAAAGAAAGAAAGAAAGAAAGAAAGAAAGAAAGAAAGAAAGATTTTTTCAAATAAGTATTCATCTTTTCATCTATAATCCAGTACCTCTTATTCTCAACCAGAAAAAAAATTGTTCTCCCTCCCCTTCCCCCAGTTTCTTACTCCATACAAATTTCTCTTATATATTTCCTTTTGTTGCATTTCAGAAAGTCATAGCCAGTGAATAATGAATGTCTAAATTAATTCAATCAATCAGCAAATATTTATTGACTAGCTATCGCATATGCAGCAGTGTTCTCTGTACTCTACACCTCATAATTGAAAAACACCTAGGAAACCTTGCTGATTAACAACAATGATTGATAGGTTTTGATGTTCAACTAATACCAAAACAAGGATGGAAATCTAAAACTGATTTATGATGCTCTGTCTGCTGAACTTTGATCATAGACCCAGTTATTGCCTGATTGTTTCAGTTAATCAAATTCTGTCTAATAAAATGTTAATTAATAGAATTTTTCATTTTCCTGCTTCACATAAAATGTAGTATATTTCACATAATAGCGCTATCAGACCCAGAAGTTAATCTAAAATTTCCTAAATTGGATATCCAGCTTACTGCATCATTGTCTTTATGACAGATTCTTAAATCAAATGCATGTTTATATTTATATATAGAATCCATGTTTGATTGATTGTTACAGCATCATCATATTATGTAACAACTGAATGATATGAAGTATAAGAAAGCAAAAATTATCTTTAAAATTCTCTTTGTGTTAGTCTTATTCTGAGTGTACAATCATTGAGTATTAAATACGTACAATGCATAATTAGTGGTTTGATATATAATGTCTACTTAAAGTACAAGCATGATTTCACATGAAACAAATACGTTAAAATTGGATTTAAAAGCCTATACATACCATATGATTCTGTATCCAAATAAATGTGTTACATCCTTTAGTAAATACAATGTTAGACATAAGACACATATTTCTTGACAGTAAGAAGTACTTTGTATTTGCCTTAAAACTTGTGATACTCCATCAGATGGCTTATTTTCTATGCCATGCATGAGATCTTTAGAAATTTATTTTATATTTTTCTTCCCAATTCCTATTTCCCCTACCCCAGTTTCAAGTCTAGAATACATCTTGCCTAAACTATTATAAAGTTTCTGTACTTCTTCCATTCATTATTATACACAAGGCATGTTAAAATTCCTAATATACAAAAAATACAATTCAGGCCCTACAGCCCATCTCCTTGAGACCTTCCATGGCTCATCATTCACTGCAGAATAAGATTTAGGTGTTTGTGGCATTCATGTCCTCTACAAAGTGACACCAACCTTTCTTTAGTGCTAGTTGAACTGATGATTCATCAAACATATCCTGTCCACTTATTTTAACACAATCAAACTTTTCTTCTCTACTGTGTCTCTTTTTGAATCCTTTCCTTCAAAAGTTTACTCACTTTTTAAGGTTCAGATGAAATATTAATCTTCAAGAGGGTGTCATTTTGCCATAGTTTGAACTCGTACTGTGCTTCATTTATTGTACATCCACTATGACACTTATCATAGTTCTTTGTATTAAAGTTATTCATGTTCCAATCTTACCTCTTCCTCTCAAATCACGATTCTTTCCCTCCAGGAGATTATGTTTTTCCTATCTTTTTATTTCCTGTAGGACCTGAAACAGCACATCATATAGAATAGAAATCTGCCAGACATTTCAAAAGAATTCAAATTAGTTGCCTTAGAAAGTAATATATACTTATGCTAATAATCTTCAATTTGCCAAAACGTTTTTGAAATTCTTTTACAACTGTTTTAAAAGCCTGTGGGGTTCTTTTAAATGGTTTCAGTGGTGACAAATCATCATCATTTGAGGAAAAATTTGATTTTGGAAAATAGAATTCATTCTGAGACACACTTAGTGAATAATATGAATGTTCAATCTGGTTTTAATGAGACAGAATCTCAGGATGAGGTATGAACTGACAATTCCAAAAGTTCCCAAAATGCTCTCAACAATGTCAATATCCTTGTAATGAGTTCATAGCATCCTAAATTTTCTACTTTAAAGCATACAGCAATTTGGGAATGTAAGTTCTAAAATATTTGTTAAATCAGCCTTGTCTTCTTGTAGATTCTTTTGCAATTTTCCAAACCAGACTAAAGTATGCTTAAAACTGAAATATCATTTAAATGAGAAGTTTATTGCCCTTCTCATTTGATTACTGTATTTTATATATTCAAGTGAATGAGAACCTATATTCAATACTGTACCAAATAAAAACTCCCCAACATTGGAGAAACACTTGTTTGTAAAGAAAAAAAAAAGAAACTTAAAAATTCAGCTATTCTGCCTGAGTTATGCCAGGAAATTAAGAATACATTGGAAGTAAATGTTAGAGATTAGTTGAGCATAGATAGCATTTAAATACCATTCAACTTTTCAGTAGTTACTAGTTTGAGGCTCTATTTTGTTTTATTTGCAAGTCCATGGCTTTGGCATATTTTCTCTAGAAATACTCTGTAGCCGTTTTTGATTTATCCCCACTAATGGATGGGAATATGTGCACCAATAATTCAAAAGAATTGGGTATCTCTATTTGTATTAAAAAAGATATGATTACTTTAGCAGATTTATCTTCTTCATTGAAGCTAATAACTGATTTTGCAAGCTTGACTAAACAAGCAACTGACCCCAAGCTTGATTTGTGAAATGAAAAGAAAGTAGTCTTTTAAAAAGAATTTTTCAGAAGAAATCATTTTATTACCTTTGGTTCATCACTGAAGAAAATCAACTGTTCACATCTTGTCATGATCTCTTCACACTAAAATCATTGCCTTTCCATTCAAATGACGTTTTACATTAAGTAAAATACTTTTTAGCCTATCTATAAAAGTACGATTTTTGCATATTAGTATATTCAGAAATCAAAGGAAACTGGCAGTTCTAGTGGTCAGGAACAGTAATAATTTATATGAAATTTGAATGAAGATTCTGAAAATTCAATGATGTTGCAGATGTACCTTGGCAAGAAGATGTCCAATAAAATTTGCTTCTTTTTTGTACGTGTATTGGTACAGGGGCTTGTACTCAAGACCTACATGCTATCCCTTAGATTTGTCAATCAAGGATAGTGCTTTATCATTTGAGCTAATAGAGTTGTAACTCTACTTCCAGTGTTTTACTGGTTAATTGAAAATAAGAGATTCACAAACTTTCTTTCCCAGGCAAGCTTTGAACTAAGATGCTCAGATCTCAGCTTCCTACTCAGGAAAGAAGCTAGGATTACAGGCATGAGCCATCAGTGCTTGGCTTAAAACTTGCTCTTTTATAGTTACATTCCTATATTTAGTGTTGATAATGAAGTTTTTCACTCTTGCAAAAATGAGGGAATATACTTGCAAAGTACACAACTATTTTATATTTGAGCACATAGTTTCTAGTAGTTTCCCAAAAATGTTGGAAAAGATTTAAATACGTTTTACTTATCAAGTAAAAAGGAGCAGAATGTTATAACTATAAATGTAATCACTTCAACACTCTCATCTACATTTGTTTTAGTCATACATTATTCATACAAAAAATCTTTATTTAAATCAAAAGGTCATTAAAATGTACAATTTACCATTTTAAAATAAAAGGTAGACAACATAGAGAATAGATTTCTGATGTGGCCTGAATATTGATAAAAATTGTCTCAGTCATTTGCATTGTAGGCTAAGATTTTTATTAAGAAAGCACCTGTGGTAATAATAGTTTATTCAGTGATGATTTTTCAAAGTAAAGGAAAGCAATATGCGTAAGTAGTTTATAGCATACACTTTCATTATGGAGTCATCTTTCATTTTGTAGTAGTGCTCTACTTTTAAGTGTGACCGGTCTATAGTGCTTGCAACTTTTTCCAAGATTCCACAGAGGTAAGCACCGAATTTCCATTTCAATCATTCTTTGTCTATAGATTTCCAAACTCCAGCAGAGCCCCAGCAAATATAGAGCCCTAAGATGCTCTAAGAATTTCCTTGAATTTCCAAAAAACCTTTACATCATTTCTAATCTTTTTCCACAAAGGAAGACCCTTTATGTCTGTGGACTTCATTAAAGAAAGAATGTTGTCTATTTGGGGAATGTATTATGAATGCAGGCCTATCTTAACACTGTATATGAATTATTTGGTGTTGATCAACGTTCCAAAATATGAATGCAAATCTTACTGAGATTCCATTTGTTGTTTTCACAGATTTCAGGAAACCTTACTGTGCCTTGGATTACAGGGTGTTCTAGAAAAAGAGCAGTAAGTAATCTTTATTTAAAGCAACAAGTTGGTTTCCTCATGTCATTAGTAGGAATGCCACTGAAAAAACTGTTATGATTTTTATAAAACTAGCAAAAACATAACCTTGATTAAATTGAATTTTCTCAAAGGACATATTTTGAGGTTAAAATATTTATGTACTCTGGGGGCTGGGAAGGTGGCTCAGTGGTAGAGCGCTTGCCTTGCATGCATGAGGCCCTGTGTTCGATTCCTCAGCAACACATAAGCAAAAAGAAAAAAGCCAGAAGTGCCACTGTGGCTCAAGTGGTAGAGCGCTATCCTTGAGCTGAAGAGCTGAGGGACAGCGCCTAGGCCCAGAGTTCAGGCCCCACGACCAGACCCCCCCCAAAAAAAGAAAGAAAGCCAGGCCCAAAGAAATATAGGTTCCATGGTTTCCCTTATCTGCAATAACTAGTATATGTCTAGGACAAGCAGAAAAGGTCAAAAGCTATGTACATATGACCATATAAGATGACGCTAAGTGAAATGAACCCCGATAGGGACACAAGAGGTTTTTTTATCTATGTTGTTGTTGTTTTTGATGTATTTGTAATGTACCATGCAATTTTCTTTGTTTCTTTTGTATGTTCTTCCCCATGGTATAACCTCGATTTACACTGTATTTTATTCCAGTGACCCCCATCTTCTATATACATTTTTCTAATTTGGGTAGGGGAAGGGAAATAACAAAATGTTTAAATAAGGATGTACGTTGATCCATTATAACAATCAGATGTACAAGACACTATGTTGAAAACAAACACTACAGCTTGGCAGGGGGTGGGAAAAGTTGGGGAGGTGGGGAGGAAAGGGATGGTAGGGGAAAAACAAAGGAGGGGGTAACAATGCTCCATAGGAAATGTACTCCTTACCTTGCTCAAGTAACTGTAACCCCTTTGTACAGTATCTTTACAATATATATATATATATATATATATATATATTAGAAAAAGTGTTTTATTAAACCAGTTAGTTTTTACAATGGAATAATTTAGCTAAATCAATCATTGTTAATTTTTTTTAATTTGGACAGTATAGGCGTTTGAACTCCAAACCCATTGGACAGGTGCTCTATCATGTCAGCCATGTGTAGGCTATTATTTTCCTTTTTTAAAGATAGGGTCTCACCTTTGGACTGGGCTAGCCTGGACCCACAATCCTCTGATTTAAGCCTCCCATGTAGCTTGAATGAAAAGTGCACCCCACCACACCTACAACCTTTTTTATTCTTTTTTTTTTGGTGAAAATACTGTACAGAGGGGTTACAATTACATGGGCAAAATAATGAGTACATTCCTGATCAAGCATTGTTGCCTCTCCTTTGTTTCCCCTTCCCATCCCATCCTCCCTCCGCCTCCCCCATCCAATCCTCCCCCCCCAAAGTTGTAAAGTTTGTTTTCAACATAACGACTTGTACATCTCATTGTTGCAATGGGTCCACCTGTATCCCTATTTTGAGATGGGTGCATCTTACAAACTTTTCTGCCTGAGCTAGCTTCAAATTACCTTCCTCCCAATCTCAACATCCTGAGGAGCTGAGATTACAGTTGTAAATCATTACTTCCAGCAATCAATCATTTTTTTGTTAATCAGATGTTTTAGCTGGGGACATGGCTCAGTGGGAAAGCACCTGGTTAGAAAGCACTAGATTCTGACTTCATATACTGCAGGACTTCCACAAAAAGAAAATGAGATTATTGGGACAGGAGCTTGCCAATTAAGTGAAACTTTTTAAAATGAGACTGTCAGTCTGGTTTATTTAAAGGTTTTGTAAATAAGCATGGTGTGTGTGTGTGTGTGTGTGTGTGTGTGTGTGTGTGTGTGTATGTGTGTGTTTCCCATTTTCCCCTATTCCAAATTAAGTATTCTTTCATTTAGATTTAACATTTTTTCTAAATTTCATTTTTTATTTTTATTATTTTATTTATATTTATTATTATTTTTATTTTATTGTAAAGATGCTGTACAGTAGGGATTACATGATTAATGAGTACATTTCTTGTTATGCATTGTTATCCCGCCTTTGTTTTTCTCCTACTATCCCTTCCCTCCCTCACCTTTTCCACTCCTCCTTATCACCCCCCACCCCAAGTTGTAAAGTTCATTTCCAACGTAGTGTCGTATCATTTTTGCAATGAGTCATCCCGTGTCCTTGTTTCAGCATTTTGTTATTCCCCTTCCCATTCCCAAATTAGATAAATGTATATACATGTTTCAGGGTACCAAAATCAGTGACCACAGAGGATAGACCATAGGGGGAAGAATATACAAACGGGAAAAATGCATTAAAAATTACATTTAAAACAACAACAAAGATAAATCTCTTGAATCCATATCTTAGGGTTCATCTTGCTTAGCATCATCTTATGTGGTCATATGGATGTAGCTATTGAGCTTTTCTGGTCATCTGATAAGATTATCCTAGATGTATACTAATTATTGCAAATAGAACTAAAAAAAAATCCCTCAAAAACAAATCCTCAAAGAAACAACTGCCCTATTAATGTGGGCTAAAGGCTTAAAAAGAGACTTCTCTGAAGATAAAATAAGAATACCCAATAGACACATGCAGAAATGCTCAATTTCTCTGGTCATAAAAAATGCAAATCAAAACAACAGTAAAATTCCATCTCACTCCAGTTAGAATGGCTATAATCAAGAACACTAATAACAACAGATACTGGAGGGGATGTGGCCACAAGGGAACTCTACTGCATTCTTGGTGAGAGTGTAAACTTGTTCAATTACTTTGGAAAGCAGTATGGAGTTTCCTTTAAAAAAAACTACTACTGTATTGTTGCTGGGAGTGTAAACTCGTTCAAACACTTTGGAAAGAAGTATGGAGGTTCCTCAAAAGACTACACATAGAGATCCCCTATGACCCAGGAATCACACTTTTGGGCATTTACCCCAAAGATAAAAAACAGGGCCATACTAAAGCTACCAGTACAACTGTGTTTATCACAGTATTATTCACCATAGTTAAGTTATGGAACCAACCCAGTTGCCTCTCAGTAGATGAATTTGATATATTTATATATAGAAAATGTGATGTATTTATATATATACTGGAATTATATGCTTCCATCAGAAAAAATGACACTACCCCATTTGTTAGGAAATGGATAGACTTGGAATAAAATAGGTTAAGTGAATAAGCCAGATCCAAACAAATTTAGATTTAATATTTAAAGAGAGGGACATATTAATCTAAAAGTTCTATGACCATTTTGTGATATGCATTATGAAATATCTACCTATATATTCCTTTTTTTGCCAGTCCTGGGGTTTGAACTGAACCTGAGCACTGTCTCTGGGATACTTTTGCTCAATGCTAGCACTCTTATCACTAGAACCACAGAGCCTCTTCTGGCTTTGTCTGTGATTAATTGGAGACACTCTTATCTCCAATTAATCACAGGAAAAGTGGTTGGGAGATGGGAAGGGATGGGAAGGGGAAACAAAGGAGGAGACCACAATGCTTGATAAGAAATGTACTCATTATCTTGCCCACATAATTGTAACCCCTCTGTACGGTACTTTCACACACAGAAAAAAAGTGTCATAGATTTTCCTTCCCCAGACTTGCTTTGACTCACAGTCCTCAGATCTCAGCCTCCTGAGTAGCGAGGATTACAACTATGTACCACTGGCACCAGGCAACATGTACAGTTTTTAAGTTTAAGAAAATTTAAATTAATGATTTAGTTTACAGAGATAAGGCATCATTGACTCATATCTGTAATCTTAGCTACTGAAGAGGCTACTATTGGAGGATTATAGCTTGAGTTGAGCTGAGGTAAAACTTTGTGAGACCTCTCCCCCATCTTAACAGAAAAAAGCTTTACATGGAGGTATACACGCATAATTCCAACTACAGACAAAAGATTAAATAGGAGGTATTATGATTCAGTCTACTTAGGACAAAAAAAGTGAGATTCTATCTCAAAAATAACACAAGCAAAAAGGGGTAGAAGCATGACTCAAAGAGTAAAGCATTTGTCTCACTAGAATTAGGCACTGAATTCAAATATCAGTATTGCAAAAAAATAACTTTACAGGAAGTTGTAAATAGACATTAAAAGCATAGGCTATTGTTTATACATTCCGGCAGAATATCACTTTTTCTCTTTACCAAATGCATGCTTCACATTTTACTGTTGACCTATTGGATAATTCAAACTCACATATTGAAGTGTTTGGTGTCTATTACAGAGTCAATTATAATAATAGAGTCAATTAGTAAAAACAAAGACTAGTACAAAATAATACATAACATATTCAGAACTTGAAGCATCATTTAAATCTGATTCTTCATTTGGTGAAAAATGGAATAGAAGCATGAATTTTGATCCTCTTGTGGTGATGTAGCTCCCAAATGATCATTTTACAACTTATTTTCTTTTGTAAGAACTTACATCTCAGCTGAATCTTAGAGTTTCAGCTACCTGGAGGCTGAAGCAAGACGATCACTTGACTTCAGCCTGGAGTTGGAAATCAGCCTGGACAAATCATCAAGACATTGCTCGAAAAAAAATTAGCAGATTCCCTGCTAGCAGAATGAAATGAGCTATATTCCCCCACAGTGCTACAGATCTAGTCTAGGGCCTTGCACATGTTAAACAAGTGCTCTACCACTAAGCAATAAGACTAGTCCTGATATATTTTTAATGTTACATAAAGTACACAGATCATTCAATTTCACTCTTATTTTACAACGATACAATTTTAATTTTCCATTATTTTAGATTGGATTAATCTATGCCTCAGAATCTTGGTTACTGAAAAATTTGATCAGTATCTAGCACTTTCTATACACTAATAGCACATTCTTTATTCATCGGTGATGGATAAAAATGATGCCGTTCCCTTGGTTTTTTTTGGCAGTCTTGGGGCTTGTGGAGACTGTCCCTGAGCTTCTTTTGCTCAAGACTAACACTCTACCATTTGAGTCACAACACTACTTCCAGCCTTTAATG